CCCAACAACCCTTTTCAAACAGGATGGGCCACTTCCAGACTAGTAGTTGGGAATTGGAGATGCTTTAGCAGGGGGCATTTAACCCCACACAATGCAGACCCCAGTCCCAGACACCTTCCCCTCACCACAACAAGGTTCCAAGCATATGTTTCTGTCAGGTATTTAAGATGTTTCCATACTGCCCTTCACCAAAAAAGGGCCATGGAACAGTTCACATCTGATTTAAGGCAACATAAAAAGTATAGTACATAATAAACAAAAATGATAAAACAGTTATCCTAAAATACATAAAGGGCATAATTAGCAACATCACAACTCAGCAATTACTTCACCCATCAGCCTCTAAAAAGCTGATCAAAAAAAGGAAGTTTTAGTTTCGTTTCTAAGCAAATATAGTGTGGGGGTAAAATACACCTCTACCCAAAAGGTGGTGTTTGAATTCTAATTACCATATTTTTTGCTCTATAAGACGCACTTTCCCCCCTCCTAAAAAGTAAGAGGGAAAGCCCCCAAGAGTCACACACACGCTCCACATGCTCTTTAAAGGGAGTGTGGCTCTTGGGGGACACTTAGCCGTGCGCAGCCTCTCCCGGGCAACAGGAGCCTTCATCCTGCTGCTGGGGAGAGGCTGCGCACGGCTATCCCAGAAGCCAGGACAGCAAGCGGGATCACTGAGCTGTGATCCTGCTTGCTGTCCTGGCTTCTGGGATTCAGAATATTTTTTTTCTTGTTTTCCTCCTCCAAAAACTAGGTGTGTCTTATGGTCTGGTGCGTCTTATAGAGTGAAAAATACGGTAGTGTTTAATTGCTTTTTGATTACTGTTTTTGTTTTCCCCCCTATGCTTTTGGATGTTTCTATTTTATCTGTAAGCCGCTTTGAGTCCCTGACTGGGGAAAAGGCAGGATATACATAGTAAATATTATAATACTGTCTTGTTTACATCTAGTTCAGGCCCAAATCCTCAGATGAAAGGAGTAAGCTTTTGGCAGCTGAATCCCCTTCTTGAAGAGAATAAACCCTTGTTCCTTTTGAAAAACACTTTGTTCTGGAAGACACACACCTCAACAGGTTAGTTCAACAGCCTCATGGATAAGCTGAAAGGAAACCTCAGCGACAGCTCGAGCGAATGAGAGGGGCGTTGCTAAGGACAGCCCACCCACCACATGTGGCTGCTTTCAGAGGTGAGCACTGCAATGCCTTTTCTGCAAGCTTTATCCTCTACACACAAACGCCCAGTAAACCCTTTCTTTGACTTATTCTTTCAGTAGAGTGGTTTATGGGGCTTTGTGATAAGAGCAGATTTAGACATAAAAGACAACACAGTCCCTTTTCTGTCACTAGCATCTACTGTACCCATTACAAACTTCATGGTCCATTTTTGGGTTTATTACTTTTATATCCCACCATACAAAAGTTCTCCTCCTCCTCATTAAATTCCCACAACAACCCTGTAAGGCAGGTTAGGCTGAGAGACAGTGACTAACCTGACTGAGGATTTGAACTCTCTCCCAGGTCCTACTGCGCCCCTCTGGTCACTATGCCACACCGGCTCCGCAAGTCAGAAGAAGATCTTCAGTCTAGCAGATGGATAGCCAAAATGGTGCCCTCCAAATGTTGTTGCGCTACGGCCCCATCAGCCCCCAGCCAACAAGGCCAATGGGTCAGGGGGGTGGGAAATGTAGTCCACACACACCAGGAGGGCGCCATGTTTTTGCTATCCCCGTGCTAGCACATTCAGGGTGCATTTGACTGCTGCAACAAAACATTTTAAAACTGCCTCCCTGAAAGAACTCTAGGAATTATGGCTCTGCCAGATTGCTGGAAATTCTTTTGCTGGAGATTCCCAGGGTTTCTTGGTTGGCAGCTGCTGCGGTAAATCTGGCTTGAAATTGGTCTAGAATTTGAAATGCAGACGGATCTTTGAGATGTTAAGTCTCTGATGGGTGAGGTGGGGTCAGGTCTCCTGGTGAGGGCAACAAACCTGACTAAAAAGTGGGAAAGCACTTTGTGAATGTTTGTGTACATGCACCCACACAACCAAAACAAGAAATTGGCACATGGAGATCTCTTATATCTTGCTTTGACATTTTTGCTCAGGCACTTCTTATATGGGAGAAAACAGGTCACAAAGACACCAGCCCCCTCACCTCAATGGTGTCCTTCCTGGGATAAGCCAATTTCATGCAACAGGTGACCAATGCTGACAAGGAAGCATCTCCTGGTCAGCAGGAATATTTTTAAAAAATGTTTACATTCAGCTTTAAGAAGAGTTGCAGCTGCACACAAAACCTCTCATCGCTTTACCACAGTATCAGAGAATCATCGAGTTGGAAGCAACCCCAAGGGTAATCTAGTCCAACCCCTGCAATGCAGGAATTACATCCTAAGAAGCACAGAATCAACTATTCCAACCTCTTCCAAGCCCACAGCACCATTTCGGTTGGGTTCTGCATGACAGCTGCAAGATCCAGAATGACTCCAAATTCACATCAATGCACTGACACTCTACATTTTGTTTTTAAAAGCTGAAGACACTGTGCTTGGACATAAGCAGCTATGCCATTAAAGCCAGCCATGCAAGTAGGGATATTTAACCTAGGCAGCCAGGCACCCTTTTACTGGAAAGTGTAGCTTGTTATTTAAAAATGCAGCCTGGAAGGCCTTTTGTCAGCACAACAGATAGTCACGTTTCTCCAAAGCCACAAAAGTCAGTTCTCTGCAGACGAACACAGCCTGGCAGATTTGTGCAAACTGCAGCCAAGCAACAGGGAGCCCATAAACAGATGCCACTTCTGCAAAACCTGCAAGCTGGATCAGAACACAAAGCCTCTCTGCCCTCTGCGGTTTCCAGCAACTGGTATTCAGAAGCATTACTGTCTCCAGCTGTGGAGGGTAACGCACAGCGACTGTGGCTTGTAGCCATCAGTAGCCCTCTCTCCCTCCATGAATTTGTTGAATCCTCTATTAAAACCAGTCAGGTTTCACTGCCTCCTTTGGGAGCAAGTTCCATAGTTTTACTATGCACTGCATGAAGTACTTCCTTTTCTCTGTATTGCATCTTCCTATAAAAACCAGCTAAAGATAGAGAAAGTTTACATTCCCCTTTGGCCAACAACCATCTAAGTCAGCCTGCCTTGAAGTGCTTTGCTGTCAAAAGATGTAGAAGCAAAAGGGAAGAATGGCTCTCTTCACACCCACCACTCGGCCAAACCAGAGATGCCCATTTACATTTGCTCCTACTACCAGCCCAAATGGTTTGGAAAATACAAAGTTGTTTTAGCAGCTTTCCACAAGACAGAAGGCTTCTTCTGAGCATCCAACAGGCGGATCCCTCAAACATCATCATCAATGCACCACAGGCTGGCTCTGAACTAATGGTACTTTTGTAGCACAGGACATTTTTCATGCAGGAATCCAGGAGAGATCTCTGGTGCAGCTTAGGCTAATATTTGCTGCAGGGGGTGGGGGGGATCTGTACTCTTTACACAGTGGATGTGTGGAAGTACAGAAGATGACCACCTTATTTGCAATATCCTCTGTACTCAAGTTCCAAAAACTTTAATTACCAGTCATGTGAGGAGGCCTACCTAGACACGGACTATACACTATCTTACATGGGGGTTCAGTTCCAAGAGTTCCACGTATACCCAGCCTCTTGGAGCCACCCCTGCAGCTAGCAGGAAGGGGAGAGAGACTCCCGTGTACTTCCAGAAACCACACAGCTAAGGGGCCTTGCCCAGCAAGTAAGACAAAGAGCTCAAAAGTTCTTTTTATGCTGGGCAACCCAAGCAGACCTGGCACTAAAAGAGGCTTTAAGCCCTCTGCCTTGCTTGGGTGTGCCAGTTCTGAGAAGCCAAGGATGTTCAAACAAGATTCTTGCGCCCGGTGAGATCTTGCCACAGCATCTCAGAGCTGGGGTACTGAGCCGGCCTTGCCCCTCAAGCAAGGCAGAGAGCTGAAAAGCTCTTTTCGTGCCAAGCAGACTCAGCGAGAAAAGAGCCTTTCAGCTCTTTTGCTTGGGATTTGATCTGCACAATTTCAGGCAGCTCACCTTCAACCACGTATGGTTGAAATCGCGCAACTCAACTGCATGTAAGATGCAATTCTGGTGTATCCTAATCACACAGCAGGAAAGGGTGAGTCCTGGAACTAAGTGGAAAGGCAGCTTGGTTGGAAGCAAATTCCGACACCATGTCCAAGAGGGCAGGAAGGGCCACACTCTGCTGTCAACAAAACAAATGGGGTGAAGTAATGAGAAGCAAATTGGCAAGCTGAATAGGAAGAAGGCACTGAAGGAGCAGAGTCGCTGAGGAAGAAGGGAAGTGGAAACTGCCTCAGAGAAGCAGGGAGAGGGGCTGAAGAGAACAGGAAAGTCACAGGAATGTGAGGTTCAAGAAGAGAGTAAATCCTCATGCATGGCCTAATTTATTTTTCCACATTCCCTATTTTTGACAGAATTTTTTTTCAAGGTGGCTTCCACAAATTAAAACAACATAGTTCAAATACAAAAAGCTAAAAACATTCATAAAATATCATAGATAAAAAATAATTAAGCCCTAATCAAACTAAAACAATATTTAAAAAACAAACCTATTAAAATACGAATAAGAGATGCTGTGTTCCTTAGGCCTGACACTCCTGTGTCGATCATGTTTTTGCTAATAAAGAGTTAACTCCAACTTGCACAGCATGATTTATTGCTGGCTCGCTTCTGACACACTGGCAGTCAGTGCAGACAATACTAAGTTAGATGGACTAATGGTGTTACGCAGTGGGAGACAGCTTCCTATGTTTGCTCTTCCTTTTCTCCCCTGTACTATTTTTGGGGGGGGAGGTGGGCAGTGCTCTCCACACAAATGTTCCTCTGTTTTAACTGACACCTTCTGCTATCCATAGGAAGTTGTCTGAGACCATTGGTCCATCTAGCTCAGTACTCTCTGCACTGGCCAGCAGTGGCTCTTCAGGGTTTCAGACAGGGGACACTTCCAGCCCAACCTGGAGATGCTGCTGGGGACTGAACCCGGGACCTTCTGCATGTGAAGCAGGTGCCCTACCACCGAGCCATGGTGCCTCCCCTTACAACACACATAGAAAGCTGCCTTCTGTTGATTCATGTAATTGCTGGACATCACAGGAAAGTGGAGAGGGCTCTCGCACCTGAACCCTGCTTGTGGGTTTCCACAGGCCCTGCTTATGTTTTTATTGATCCATCAAACTCACAACTGCCTACACTGACCTGCAGGGGCTTTCCAGGGTTCCAGGCAGGGGACTCCAGATAGGGGACATTCCCAGCCCTACCTGGGAGATACAATCGGGGATTGAACCTGGAATCTTCTGCATGCAAAGCAGTTTTAGTGATACCCAGTGAGAAGAGTTTGCATCAGGGTGACATCACAACCAACACAGATCATTCCTACAGTGCTTGGGCTGGGTTCCAAAACAAACACAAGCTATTATGTATTGCTGGGGGAGATGGGGGGGGGACCTAAACAGCTGCTTTAAAAATTCCCCTAATCTTAGAGTGACTGTATGTGTGTGTGGTTCTTCTCTCTCATAAGCCTTCCTTCATGGCTTTGAACCACACACTCATTTCATATCTCCTAGAAGCACACTGCCATTCTACCTCCAGGGGAGACCATTTTCATCCGGACTTGGTGGCAGACTGCTGGCCTGGATAGATAGAGCCTGACCACCGGGGAGGCTTCCTCAACGATTCCCCCACTGCCACAGCAATGCTCAAAGTTGCTGGAAAGATGAAGTTGCTGTCATCCCACAAACCACACATAATATCATAATATCCTATGAAGAGCCTGCTGGGTCAGGCCAAAGTCCTAGCCCAACTTCATGTTCTCGCAGCAGCCGAAAAGATGCCCCAATGGGAAACTGATGAACAGGATTCAAGTACAACAGTACTCTCCCCTACTGTGGTTTCCAGCAATTGCTATTCAGCTGTGGAGTCAGACTTAACATGAGTTTACAGTGTGATGCAGAAGCAGAAGCAGGGAAAAAAAACCTAATGCTATTCTAGGCTGCATCAACAGAAGAAGTCCAGATCAAGGGAACTAATAGTATCACTCTATTTTGACTTGGTGAGAATCCTTCTGGAGTACTGTGTCCGGTTCTGGGTGCCACAATTTCAGAAGGATATAGACAAATTGGATGATTAAGGGTCTGGAAATTAAGCCTTATGAAGAATTAGGGAGTTGGGTATGTTTGGCTTGGATAAGAGGAGACTGAGAGGAGATATGAAAGCCATCTTCAAATATCTAAAGGGCTGTCACATGGAAGAGCAAGCTTGTTTTCTCTTGATCCAGAGGGTAGGACCTAAACCAATAGATTCAAGTTACAGTTCTATGGTTCTATGACTCATGTCATATCTACATCATCCACATCATTAAAGCAGAGGCGCTCCTTTTAACAGTAATGGATTCCCCACCACCATGAAAGAATCCTCAGAACTCTAGTTTGCAAAGGAGGAGGGGGAGAGTTAGGAGAACCTTAATGAACTAGTTCCCAGGATTCTCTGAAGGAAGCCATGACTGTTAAGGTGGTCTAAGAGTGCTTTGAATATATGGTGCTGATGTGAGCTTACACTCCTCCAGGAGTTCACCTCCAGGTCATCTCAGATAACAGATTAAATGTTGTGACTTTCTTTCATGTACAACAGCCTTTAATTGGAATTTCCCGAAAAGCCTTCCGAGAACTGGCTTTTGCACGGCATGGAAAAATATTATGCTTCCATTTGCCGGAAATCCAGGAGGTGGGTAATTATATATCCAATTAGTAAGTGGGCACTGGAAGTTCAGGAGGACGTTTTTATTTCTTCTCCCAAATTGCACAAAAGGATTTTTGAGCCAGGTGGGGCACTCTCAACAATCTGAAGATGCAGAAGGAAACACCCATGTATTTTTTTTGCACGTGCTTCTGAGAGAAGCAGAAAGGAATTTATGGGCAGACTCTTCTCGCATGAGCCAAAAAACAGATGAACTGGAAGATGTTTCACACTTGTTTTCTTTAATTACAACTGAAGGCCTCGAAGAATTACAGTGTGGCCCTTCGTCAAGGCGTCTAGGATCCTACACACATTAGAAAACTCTCATTATATGAGCTGGGGGGAGGTCCCCTCCCCTTACAAAATGCAGGTAAACAAATGTATGTTTCACTTGTTTTCACACGGGTGTGCTGAGGTTGCACATTGTTACGCTATACTGTACATGTGCATTTTAAACACACACAAAATTTATTTCACCCCAAGCTAAAAGAAAGGTCCTGCTACATGCCATGAACTTGTCTGCCACCATTCCTCCCAGTTTTTTGGATGAACAACAGTTGTGGGGGGGGGGGGTGCTGAAGTAACAAGTGGAGGTGGCACAAGCAGGTGGAGCAGCCGCTTAACCCCTTCCCTTCCTGTTTGTTTGCTCAGTCAGCTTCCTTAGGGGGACGGTTGTGGTTCAGTGGCAGAACATCTGCTTTGCATGGTTCCATACCCAGGTAGGGATGGGGATGTTCCCTGCCTGAACCCCTGGAGAGCTGGAGTGAGTCAGAACATAAGCAGAGGTGCTGGATCAGGCTAGTCCAGCATCCTGTTCTCACAGTGGGTAACCAGATCCTTGTGGGGGGTTGTTACTAGATCCTTGTGGGGGGTTGTTATTCTTATTTACTAAATTTGCTGGTCACTTCGTCTTCCCCAAGGTAACCCAAAGCGACTTACAAACAAATGAACAATCCCTTGTAGAAACATTAAAACCAAGGAGGGACATACAGTTGTACCTTGGAAGTCGAACGGAATCCGTTCTGGAAGTCCATTCAACTTCCAAAACGTTTGGAAACCAAGGCGCGGCTTTCAATTGGCTGCAGGAAGCTCCTGAAGCCAATTGGAAGCCATATCGGACGTTTGGTTTCCAAAGAACGTTCACAAACTGAAACACTCACTTCCGGGATTGCGGCATTCGGGAGCCAAAACATTTGACTCACAAGGTATTCGGGATCCAAGGTACGACTGTACATTAAAAACATGCAGGAATCTTTTTGCCCAATGTGGGGCTCAAACCCACAACCTTGAGATTAAGAGTCCCATACTTTGCTGACTGAACAATCCTTCCCTTCTTATCTGAAGCCCTAGAGTCACTGCCAGCCAGTGCAGGCAATACGGAGCAAGATGGACCAGTGATCTGACTTGATATAACACAGCTTCTGATATTCCTGTGATGGTGCTATATAAATGAACAATGACTATGGTCAGACCCAAGATAAGCAGGCTTCCTAAAATATTCCTGCATTCTGTATGACTGAAATTTGGCCCCTAGCCTGACTGTCATTAATTCAACTGTTTAGCATCCCAGAAAGCTGGGAACACATTTTAAGATGTTTTGGTTTACAGCCCAGATTACACAGGTATTATCTTCATTTTTAAGGTTTGCATCTCACCATTCAGAGTTTAAAAACCAGTTGTACTGTTTACATCAAAACATCTAGCCAAACTATTCATGTATTTTGCTTACTTTTTAAAAATGTGTATTCCACCAATCTCTCCATAGTGATTTGGAGGGGGGAAACCCTTTAAGAACTTGGTATATAGTCAAATCAGTAAGTTAACCATATCCATTTAACAAAGTCCAGCAACACAACAAAACAGCACAGAACTGAGCCAGCAAAAAATACACAATTTAAATTATTGCTTGCTGGTTTTCTTGTATAGAACATGCAAGAACTTGCCAATATTTTAAAAATGCAAGCAAATGAGAAAAATGGGCACGTCTGCTAGCTCAGTTCCAACCAATTCTGCAGCCCCTTTGGAAAGGGGAGGCTACTATTCTTAGGAGATATCTTTGTCTCCCAAAGTTATATTTCCCAAAATCCTTTGGAGGAAACAGTAGCAGTTGAACTAGTTCAAAATCAGTTTTTACTTGGTAGCTTAAGTGCCATAATGTTTCTCTCTGGCCTCACTGGCTAGTCAAGCATCTATGGCCAAACTTATTCAGATCACTGGGAAAGAATATTACTATCACCAATTGCAATCAAAGGGCAGGGGCCACATGCATCTGTATTCAGTGGCTGTTCTGCAAACAGATTTCCCCAACCGAACCCACAAACAGCTTTCAACATTACCCAAATGTAAGGGGAGGCCGCAGAGTGTTTATACTCCACTGGTGTGTGCATGCTAATTTGGTCTAAATTTCCATTTAGGTGCACAGATGGTACATAGACTGCTTATAATTAAACCTACGAGTTTAAGGCTGCAAAACAGATGGAACAGCTCCAACAGCAATACCCTATATCTTGCTCCAAAACATGCACAAAAGAAGATGAGCTCATTGCCAAGCATATCTTTCCAAAAATTCTGCAGCAAGACTATAGATCAGCTTTGAATTCAACTGTACAGAATGAGAGATGCCTGCTTTAACTCTATACTGGTTGCATGATACATCAGTACCAGCTACCTGGAAAATAACCTCAGCAGAAGACCTTCTCCTTCAGGTACTTGGACCCAAGCCATACAGGGCTTTAAAAGTAACAGCAGCTTGAATTGGTCCCATGAAATTTTCTGTGAACTGGCATATGTACAAACCTAGTGGCACTACTGATGCTTGCTAATCAAAGGTCCAGCAGCCTAGTTGACAGGTTGAAAAATACTAACAAACCGCCACTCCTCAGAATTTGCATCGCATGCCTTGGATTTAATCTGCAGTGACTTTCCAGGATTTCAGTCTATCCTGGAAATGCTGAGGAATGAACCTGGGAATTTCAGCATGCACAGCAAAGCCCCAAAGCCTGAACCAGTCGGCTGCAGCATTGGCATACTTGAAAAGGAACAAGCACACCTATGTGTCACGTTGTGAAAGGCCACGTGGGTGTCAGCATAATTAATTTCCTACCTGAGTGGAGGGACACTGTGTGCAAAGCTAAGAAGCCTGACACCCTTGTCCTCTGCAGAGTTACTCAAAAACATAAAAAAGCATGTTCAGTGCGCAGTACAGCAGTCTATGCTTCTGAATAACAAGGCTTAATGAATCATCTGCATACAGCTTGATGCTGAATGTCTATCCTACCATAAATATCCCCACATGAAAACTGCTGGAGGTTTTGGAGGACTACTTACATCATTTTTCTGCCTGTTGTATCAACTGTATGATTTTTAATTATACTTTTATTTTTGGTGTTATTGTTTTTCACTTATTCCATAGAAAGAATTCAAACTGCAATACAATAAAAGAAATAAAAGACCCAATAAAAATATTATTAAAAATCAATACAGTAGTACCTCGGGTTAAGAACTTAATTTGTTCTGGAGGTCCGTTCTTAACCTGAGGTACCACTTTAGCTAATAGGGCCTTCCGCTGCTGCTGTGCCGCTGGCGCACGATTTCTGTTCTCATCCTGAAGCAAAGTTCTTAACCCGAGGTACTATTTCTGGGTTAGCGGAGTCTGTAACCTGAAGCGTCTGTAACCTGAGGTACCACTAAATCCAGGCATGCCACGGACCACCTGGAAAAGACTTGAATTCTGGAAACATCAAGTCCCCCAAAAGGTACCTCTTTATAAAGAATTTCAAAAGCCCCATCTGTGCCCAACTTGCTCTATTATGGAGCCAACGGGGTTCTGCTAAACTGCATATAAATATGTAACATTATTTTGTCTCCAAGGGCAAGGATGGACTAGGGAGATGACCGAGCAGACTCGGGCTGAGGGATGCTATATTCCAAAACATCTGGAGGGCACCGGGCTGAGGAAAGGTGCAGCAATTTTATGTTATCCAAGCTTGGAAAGTTCAACTGGTGAGAGAACCTCTGAAAGTCATAGAATAACTGCTTATTTTCAGGGGGTATGCAAGGGTACATAGTACCAGCATCTCTTTTTTGTTGTTAAAAAGTGTGGCACTTACTGTAACAGCTTCATTGTGAGTATCAGCACCTATTTTTCTAGGGGGGAAAGCACTGCACAGAATCATAGAATTAAAGAATTGTAGAGCTGGAAAGGACTCTGAAGGGCATCCAGTCCAACCTCCTTCAGTGCAGGAACCTCAACTAGCTCATTCATGACAAATGGCCATCCAAGCTCTGCTTAAAAACCTCCAAGGAAAAAGAGTCCATTGCCTCCCACTGTCCCACTATTCTTACTGTCAGAAAGTTCTTCCTAAGGTTTAGTTGGAATCTCCGTTCTTGTACCTTGAAGCCATTGGTTCGGGTCCTACACTCCAGAGCAGGAGAAAACAAGCTTGCTCTGTCTTTCATGTAATACCCCTTCAGATATTTGAGGATGGCTATCATATCCTCTCTGTCTTCTCTTTTCTAGGCTAAACATACCCAGCTCCATCCACAATTCCTCATCAGGCTTGGTTTCCAGACCCTCTATTATCTTGGTCACCTTTCAGCTTGTCAATATCCTCCTGGACATAGTACTCCAGGTGTGGTCTGACCAAGGCAGAATAGAGCAGTACTATTACTTCCCTTGACTAGGACACTATAGACTTCTGCTGATGCAGCCCAGAATAGCAATAGCTTTTCTGGTGCGGCATCACACTGTTGACTCATGTTCAGTTTGTGGTCTACCAAGACCCCTAGATCCTTTTCACTTGTACTACTGGCATTCCCCATCTAATCTTTGTGTAGCTGGAGAGTGATGCTTGGGGGTTGCTCCTTGGCCCTGTGGAGTCTTCAGTGTGGGGTTCCTCAGAGTTCGAGTTTTTCCACCCATGCTTTTTAACATCTATAGGAAACATATAGGAGCATGCTGTCAAATCATTGATATGAGAGCCACCTTCAAATATCTGAAGGGCTGTCCCTCGGAAGATGGAGGAAGCTGGTTTCCTGTTGCTCAGAGGGGAGGATCCAAACCAATGGATTCAACTGGCAACAAAAGGAGATCCTGACTAAGACTGGGGTAAAAAGGAGCATTCCTGACCTGCCCATTGCTTTAAATTGACCACACATGCTTTATAGGAATTTGGGACCACCTGTGTCCTTACATAAGCTAACTTAAGAGCCTGCTGGATCAGGGAGAAGGGGACCAGTACCCTGTTCTCACAGTGGCCAGCCAGATGCCCCAATGGGAAACCCACAAGTAGGATTTGAGCCCAACAGCCCTTTCCCATCTGTGGTTTCCAGCTACAGGGATTCAGAAGCATGGCTGCAACCATGGAAGCAGGGCTTGGCCATCATGGCTAGTAGCCTTCAATAGCCCTCTCCTCCATAAAGATGTCAGCAGCAGCACAGGAAACGTTCACCACAGCTCATCTTTCCTGCTGCTTCGAAGGAGTGGATGAGTTTCTTGCTTATTCAACACAACGTACGATGAGCAATTTCTGGATAACATTTTGCACATTTCCCTTTCCATGCATTGAAATATACATGCATCTTCCTACACAATGGGAGGGGGAGGAAGAGTGCTGGGGGGAGGGGTTCTGTGGAATGCGATCTCTAAGGAACTGCACCTTACAAATCACCAGAAGCAGCCCCACTTAAACCTGGAGCCAGTAGAAATAGGGTCTCCCTTTGAAGCCTGCTCCCTCCAGAGACCTGTAACTCAAGAAAAAGCAAATGTGGTGGGTGGCAGCAGGATTTTAAAAGGCAACTTTTACTGCTCAGTGCATGGAGATGTTCTGCCTAGGACTGAGTCAGCATACAATGATTTTACTGGGTGTGTTTGGAAAGTGTTTATTCCTGGGTTCATTTAAATCATGTTTTGTGTCATAAACTGCTCCGAGAGCCTCAGTAACTGGATGTCTTTATAGGGAGCATCCACAAGGCCTCTTTCTGCAAGTTTAATATTGCTTGCAAGAGAACATGCAGAGCTCCTCTAGCAATCCAAAGTCTTCTGATTCACAATTCAATATCCTCAGCACTATGCTAGGGACACCTAAACAAACACAAGGAAGTCAACACCAGCCTTAATCTACCTCCTAGTACATTTAAAGACCAAAAAGACCAATCTGTACTATACATTCAAGAAGAAGAAGAGGAGGAGGAGGAGGAGTTTGGATTTGATATCCCGCCTTTCACTCCCCTTCATCCCACATTAAACAGTCATGGCATCCCCAAAGAATCCTAGCTTGTGTAGTTTAAGGGTAATGAAGAGTTGTTAGGAGTAACCTCCATATTAACCCT